AACTGATCCATACATAAAGGTGTTTGAATTACCTAGTATTTGAAATTTTGATTAGCTTCAACAATCTTCAGTTATAAAAAGCAAATCTAAAATATATAAATGGACCAGTAATAATTATTATAATGAAATGGACTTTTTAAAAAAGTTGCCTATAATTAAAAATTTGCCTTTTCTTGAAATAACAAGATGAACATGTGACTAAAAAAATATTTTCTTCATTTGTGAAAGAATATTATTGAATATTAGTGTTGGGGCCACATAGGTTTAATTTATAACCTAAAAGAATTTTACAAATTCACTGTAATTATAATTTACTTGATATTTGACTGAATTCTAAAATGGGTTTTTACTGAAGTTAATTACAGTTTGGATGTGCGCAGATGGCCAGATGGTTAGCAGCAGGGAAAATGGTATCAGTGAACCAAGTTTATAAGTACATGGCTCAGTGGTTAAAGTATTACTATTCTGAGCATGAGACCCTTGTTTAAATCTCACCATGGTTGATTTATCAGGGAGATGATTTTTTGGTCATATCAGCCTGGGGAGACAATAACAGCATGCAACACTGTTGGAAGATGCCTGAAAATCACACCATAGTTTGATCCCAGTCTTGTGAATAAAATTGGGTAGACAAAACTGTTCAAAAGTCGTCAATGATTTTGCTAGCATAAAGTCACAAGTCATCACCTAATAGGTGTGGATGTGTGGGTGATGTAATAGACAGCAGCTTAGAATGAGAAATCACAAAGTCAAGTTCAAATACCAGTCAGGTACGTTACAGTCACTTAGACACAAATACCCATGAGAAAGATATGAATCCATCTCCTACCCCTGTTATTGGTTAAATAGTAAGAATTGTATCTGAAGAGAATTAATGTTTTTCTCAAAAATGATTCATGCAAAATTCACTCCCCCCCCAAAAATAAAAAAAATAAAGGTTTATTCTTACAATCAACAATGTTTTTTACTTAAAAATTTTTTTTTAATCAATTCACCCCAAGCAAGGAAGGTGATAATGCCACTAAGACAGAAGCGGTTACTGAGAGTGAAAGTGAATAAGAAGACTTTAGAAAAACCCATAAACTCTATCCTAAACAAGAAGCAAGAGATAAACCTCTATTCATGTTCAAAAGACCAGGAGAGAGTGTTTTGGCTATAAATAACACACAAAGGGTTGATAAGCCATAAAAAACAAATCAATCACCTAAAAGGCAGATAGAAGTTCTTAAGCCTTGGTTGGTCATCTACCTAGAGATGTTATTTTGATAGAAAGAACAGGGTTGTATCAGCCTAAATCACCCACAATGCATGAAATTCTTAAAGAGAGAATCAAGTCACATGTGTTCAGTAACTGCTGCCTTGAATGCCTTCTTCTTTTATGTGCCCTGTCCTTTAAGGACGTAGGCGATTATGGCCCTCCATATCTTCCTGTCCTTTGTAGCTCTTAATAAGTTTTGTCTTTTTGTTATTTATCCCAAACCCTGTTCTACTATCCATTTACTCAAGCCCATCAAGTATGTTACCTGCTACTTTCCCCTGTTCCTCTTTCCCTCAATCTGTCTTGTGAGTATCAGATTTGCCAAACCCTCATTATGAAATTTCAACTGCTGCTTCTTTAAGTATAAGTTTCCTTTTTATTTCCATTTTCTCTAAAACCTTGTCATTCCTCACCTGTTCAGCTCATTGTATCCTCAGCATCTTTCTGTAGAATCACATTTCTGTTGCTTCAAGTCTCTTCTTTATCTTTGAAGAGATTGTCTCGCATTCATTGCCATATAGATACAAACTTAACAGTTCAGTACTCTTTTCTTTGTTTCTAACAATTTTTTTCTGTTTCTTAATACTCTGCTTAGCTTTTGGAATGCATCTTTGGCCATCCCAATATGTCTTTGTACTTAAACTCAGACTAGACCTCAAGTGGAACATGTAGATACATTTCATCACTAAAGATACTGGGAAATTGGTTGCTTTCCTGTACTGCTCCCTTAAGTCCCTGGCTCTTGCTATCCTCTACTTTCACAAGAGCTGTGGATCAGGCTGAAAATAGTGTCCTGCTACCATAGATGGACACAAGCAGCCAAGTCTTCACTTTCAAGTCTTGAGTTCAAAAGCATATCCACGTCCTTTCGCACCAACAAGACATTACAAACCTCTCACTGCTCTGTCGTTAATTCCATAGAAAGTGTTCATTCCTTAGTTCCATTAGTTCTAACATTCACATCTAAGACCCAGCCTACCATGCCCATTGTAGCAAACCACCCTCATTCTCTTCACACTCCATTGGTGAGATGTAAGTTCCACTCAAGCAGCGTTTCCCTATAAACCGCTGCTGCTTTGACTACCAAGAGGATGCTTCACCAATCACTATAATCTTGATCTGTTCAAGTCTATTGTTTACTTTTATCTTCTCCACATATCCCCATAAGCTATACCTTTTACTCTGTAACCCTCTACCTTGAGTGACACTTGTGCCTTGTACAAGGTGAACATCATTGTTAAAAAGAAGAAAAAAAGTTTAATTCTCAGTTTGTGTTTCAAACTAATCCTTGGGAAAAGCATGAATTCACTTCTTCCTGTCAGATTAAGTACTGGATTTATCCTTGTTTAACTTGTAGCATTATTTGGAGAAGAGTTTTATGCTGCAAATTAACTTCCATTGGTCAAAGAAATGTTATAAGTCACCCAGTACTATACACTAGCAGTCAACTAGGTCATGGGAATCTTTTAAAAAAAATTCTCTGTTTATCAGTTTATCAATTTTCACTGAACAAATCTGTTGGCAATTTTCTGTTGATTTTTCTAAATCAGATCAAAAGTTTTGCTTTTTGGTTTTTCCTTTTGTGCTCATTGTTTTTAATTTCAATCTGAATGCTTCCTCTAAAATATTCAAATATTTTTCATATGTAATTAACCAGTTTAAAAAAAAAAATAAAAAAATAAAAAAAACGGAGAAAAGAAAAAATAATATACCAAGGGAGGGAATTTCATAATCTCAGTCTTAACTCTAATATTAATATCTATATTATTAGGTTGGTGCAAAAATAATGACGTAATAATGTCGTTTTTTGACGTACTTTTCTACGTCAAAAAACGACATTCTTACGTCATTATTTTTGCACCAACCTAATACATATGTTTTTTTTTTTTTTTTTTTGCTTTATGATGGTTTCCCCACACCCTGCAAGGAATATAAATTAATAAAATTAGTTTGTTAGCATTTGAACAGAATTATTTATACTGTTTAAGAGTCTTTTTCATGTAAATCAAATTTTAACTCTTTTTTTTTTTTTTTTTTTTTCTTTTTCTTTGAAATGGTCTTTATCTGCATTTTGTTCTAAAAAGTTCAATCAGGTCATGTGGGCAACTCTTGGGGAGTTGGTGAATAAAATAAAATTATTCCTTTTTCAGGTGCATGTCCTGAAGATAAAATCAGCTAATGTTCTATAGTCAGTAATTGTAATAAAAAAAAATTAATAAGATTTTTACTGTTTTTATCAGTTATTTCACTAGTGCTTAGTAAAAAAAAAAAAAATTATGTATGTTTGTTTGTTTAATTGAATGTGACTGACAAAGGAAATCTTCTAATTTTATTTTAAGTTTTTCTAATGTTCTTACCGTTTTCTTTTTG